CTGCGAAGAAAACACACAAAGAGAAAAAGGCTTTTCAGCATCTTCTTTGGACACAAAAAGAATGTTAATTTCTCCACAAAGAAGTGGAGGGATCCACTAAAAGTTTGCAGTTGCAGTAAAGTTGAACTGAGGGTCAGCGTGGCGAGCTGCTGCAGTAACTCTCGCGACATGCCACACTAGTGTGGTGAAAAGGCTGCTTCTTACCCAGCCCTATACAAACACACGCGTGCAGTGTTTCGGATTTCCTTTATGTTTATTAGTCATCTCTCTGCGCAATTTATTTTTAGGAGTCTAAATAATTTTGAACTTAGTGTTGATGCATCTGTTTTTGCCCTGTAAATGTGGACAAAAATTGTTGTCCTTTCAGTGTTTTTCCTGAACAAGGATTTCCACCTTCTGTCTACTTCCATCTGCTGCCCCTCAGCGACGCTGTTTTAATTTGAGAATAACTAACATGATAATGAAGCAAATCTGATACCTCGTGGATGAATGCATTCATGTGAGAAAAAAAAAAAAAAACAGGCCCCAAAAAAAAAAAAACAGCTGTTATTTTACGAATAAATGCAGAATATTAGTGAGAGTAATTAAAGCAAGAAGCTGAATGCGGTAATGAAATTATTCCTCGGCGCCCGTCTGCTGAAATGGGAGTTGATGTTGACAATGAGCTGCGATGGGATGTGTGAAAGATCAATGTGGAGACGGCAAAGCAATACAACATTGATTTTGATGTGAAGCTGCTTCGCTATCAATCGCATCCACGTGAAGAAAAACACGGTTGCTGCTACCTATAACTCGTGCGGAAAATCCAAAAAGCATTCAGTGCCTTCGGGCCAAAATTGGGGAATGTTTGGATGTTTGCTACTGACGTGGATAAATAATACATTTATTTTCTTTTTAGTTTAAGGGAGACAAGACGGCTGAGGCTATTGATCACAAAATAAAGAGGGATTTCTCCATGCGATGTGTCAATATGAGCTGTGGACACATAGGAGGAGAGAATCCGTGAGTATGGATCGGGATGACCTTGAAGTGGTTCCAGCACATCTCCTCCTGCCCGACTGTTGATAAAATGCCTTATCACCGCCAAGATGGATTATGCAGGGGGATATCGAGCAATTGATCTGCGGTTTTCTTGAATAACCTTTCAACAAGCTCACTGGGGAAAGTGTCGTAAGCGATGGCTTTTTCTACTTACCAAAAAGCAGATGGACACTTTGCACCTCGATCGTCAACTCTTTTATTTTAATCATCGCCCTTTCATGCCTGTTGTCTTTCTTACCATCGTTAGGAATGTATCATGTTCACACAAATGAAATGACGATTGTCCTGTCCACTCTTGTGTGTCGTTACAGAATCATATGAAGAATCTTCTCAAGTTGCCAGTATGTTGAATTTCTTGGCCAACCAACTGCACTTTTGACCTCTGAGAACCAACAGTTAGGCATATGTGCAGAGTGTTACAGTGGACGCCCACATGTGTTGCATGCACATGAGTGTGTAAGCAGCTGCACAATGGTCCAACACGCTCCAATCCTCCGGTCGTCTCTACTATCTACTGCCGCCGCTCATTCGCACTCTCCTCTGTTGGCGCACATAATGCCGTAGGGATACAATAACCGCCAGCGCCTAAGTGACGCATCCATAAGTCACTTACCAGTGGCGGTGGACAATAGTGGTACGAGGGGAAAGTCTCGCTGACACATTCAAGTTTGGTTTATGTTCAGCTCACTGCACCTGATGGTGAAACTAATACTTTTGTTTTGTGGCAGATGCTTCAAAGACAATGAAATGTTTTCTTGTTGGACGAGCTGACGGCAGTCAAAGCAGCGGTTTTAGGCAAACATTAGATTTGCTGCAATGCTCAGATTGTCTGTTTAAGAGGGAGGAAATTTCATCTGTGCTGATAAAGTTGTACTTGACTTGATACAAACAGAATGCCAACAAGGTCAGACTACAACCATTATTTGTCTTTCTGCATGTTAGTATGTTATATTGTGCTTCATAATAATAAACAGTGACAGCTCAAGATTTGCAGGAGTGTAGAGTTCCATTGAAGGATATAAAAAAAAAATCTTCAGTCTGCACACTTAATCAGATCCTCAGCAAACCGGCTCTTCCTTATCCCATCGCAATAAAGTTTCTCCCAAACTGATGTACTTTTCCACACCTCTTTTCCAAAAAAGTGACTTCCGCCTTTCATTCCTGCTATGAAACAAACAACAGGAGCGTAATCCGTTTGACATTGTTTTCTGGGTAACGAGAAAGGAGCCCGGTGATTCGCTGAGTCAAATGTGGCTCGCACTGCCAAACATATGGGACCCATGTTCCAAAAGCAGTTATTAATCGCCGTTTGATGTTTGTCTTGATCGGAAATGATGCAGTCACTCTCTCCCCATTTGAGCAAGTATAGACATTAACTGCTTATTAGCAAAGAATTGGTGCCAAAAAGGGAGCTCTGGAAACAGGTTTTATCAAGCTCAGAATGAAGATGCGCACAAACTATTTGAGCTTTAAAAAAAAAAAAAGACGGTGAAATCTTACTGTCAAGTTTGAAAAAAAAGAAAAGAGAGAACCACAAAAAAACAACAGACAGATGTATCATCATCCAGGAACGGTGTCAGGCCCAAGTGTACTACCTACTACCTTCGTCCCCATCTGTCTACATCGCTGTCTCCCTGCAAGTGTCATTAAACACCGGGGTGCCAGGATAGAGACTGAACAGTGCAGGCTAATATCTATTACTAGTTGGGAGGATAAGTGCAAATCTAAGTGGCGGTGGATGCATGTCAGCGCAGTGGGAGCGGAGGGAAGTGCGGTGAAAAACTGAGAGGGAAGAGAGAACGCCCGAGGAAAAGATTGACGATTGTGTGACATTTCACCGCCATGTGAACGCGCGCAGGTTTTACAGCATCATCATGCTCTCTCTGCACACAGCAGGGGGTACAGGGCAAACACAATCATCCAGAAAAATCAGGAAACAGATGGACTGACACAGGTAAAAGACTCTGGAAGACTGAAATGGTACTTTCGTCTCCCACTACTGCAATTCGACACCAGCCTCACGAGAGAAAGAAGAAACAACAATACGCCCTGGTCGGATTTCTCACATGATCTTCACCAGCTGTCAGTGTCACTCTAGAAACAACTGAAGTTTTGTGTGCATGTGTGTAAAAAGATACAGGCTCTTTAGTTAGCCAAAAGTGACCTATCAAAACCACTGGGACAATTACGACGAGCAACAGTTCGAGTATTAGGATTTAGATTCCATGTCCACAATTTGACAGTCGTACTGGATGTTCACGCCTCCAAAACAGCAAAAGAATGTTGTCAACAAGTCAGTTGAACACAGTAAAGAGTAACAGAAATAGTTGTTCTTTTTGCCTGGGGTGCAGAACTTACAAATTCATAACGAATCAAGAACACGTTTCTGTGAATGCAGATTTGTCACAATGCCTCTGGTTATTAACAAAGCAAGGCTATGCTTTCATGAGCACAGAGCACGCTTGTCCATTTGAAAAGTATCCATCTCTAGTCCAGTGAAATGCCATAAAATGGGAATTATGTAAAAATGGGACAGTGAAAGCGACTATCGCATGACCGGATTAGTTACAAATGTGACAGGACCACAACATGGGAGTGGCAAGAAATGGAATTGACCCATTATTATTATATCTTATTTATTTTTATGCTGTAAGCAAATCCCACCCAAGAAAATGTGGGCTAAGATAAGTCCACGACATATGCAATGGATGCAAAACCATTCAAGCTTCCCTTGAGCTGTTAAGGACACCCTGGTGTAAAATCCATCCATCCATTTTCTATAGAGCTTGTCCTCATTAGGTTCACGGGTAATTGGAGCCTAATCTAGCTGACTGGGCAAGATGTGGCGGACGCTCTGGACTGGTCACGAGCCAATTGCAGGGCACACAACTGAATTGACGCAAGAAGAAATTAACTTCACGTGATTTTGGAAAGTGGAAGGAGGCCAGTGTACCCAAAATAAATGTAGAAAATGCCAACTCCATGCTAAACACTAATCCTGTAAAAATATGAGGACGACACTGTGTGACTTGTAACATTGTGGTGAAACAGATGACTTCACAATAAAAAAATAAAAATTTTTGGGCAGTGACAAAATACCAGCAGACACTAATGCGTTGTCAAAAATAGGCTCCTTAGACAATTAGCACAGCCAGAAGCAAGCATACAGATGGACTGCATAAAATGTTTTTATGGTCGCCTCAATGAAATACAGTGGAACCCATTTGTGTAATTGAGGCCCATGCAAACACATGCTGGGCACATGACAGCCACTATAACAGGAAATATAGCAGATGCTTTAAGCACTGGGGTAAAGCATGCCGACCTGAGTTACGATTACTTTCAAGACATCCTGTTTGGAGACACACATACATATGGCTTGTTGGACAAGACCTAAAGCCTGCTTGCGAGTCAACTTAGAGGCAGACAGTCAAGAACAATAGCAGTTCGTCTACTATCTCTCCTGTTACTGTAGTTGTAGTGTTCTTTCCAAGCTAGCGCATTTGACTTTCAGTAACTTGTGAGTACAAGCTATTTGCCAAACAAGTGTTTGGTGATTCGGTGCCACTGGAAAAAGGGACGGATCATATTTCGCAAGTGTGTCTCCGAAAACGACTGAGATTGAGACAGATATGATGATGTTGCAAAGCCTCCAGCATTTCCTGACTATGGGAATACAGTAGTGGGGGGCCAAGTTTTGAACATTGGGGTACTTCCAGGAGTGATCTAACAAAGCGTAAAAGAAGATGTATACTTGATGAGACGTAATCACAGACATTATTCCACTGCTAATTCCTCAACGATAGTCACATAATTCATATTTTATTATTATTATGATTATTATTATTATTATACTGTAGTTGTAGTGTTCTTTCCAAGCTAGCGCATTTGACTTTCAGTAACTTGTGAGTACAAGCTATTTGCCAAACAAGTGTTTGGTGATTCGGTGCCACTGGAAA